AAGCCTTTTTTGAGATTTCTTCTTTTGTAGCTGAAGCCAACCACTCTTGCGGAAATGACTGAAAGAGGACACAGAAACCAATAAAGTGACAATAAAATGCATTCCCATGTTGGCAAATTCCTTTGACAGACACCTGAGAAACAAGGCTGAAGACCTGAAGAAACAAGCGTTAGACCAATTTATGCAGTGTTGGAAGCTTGCTGTTCAGTTGGATGAAAGGACGGCGGTTATTGTTAACATGTTTCAGCTCATGGTTCTTTATGGATTCTGTTTCATTAATGAAATACATGAAGAACTTCTCTTTTAAAGGGGGCATTAAAGGTAAAATTTATGGGAGAAGATATACTCACAACTAAAATGATCTTTCATGGAAGAATGATTTATAGAAACTTGTGGAGGTGTAACCACTGAGGAAATGGCTGCTTTACCTCAAAGAAATACCAGCACAAACAAAATTTATTCACTGAATAATTCCTATGCAAGAATTTTCCACAAGGAAGTTGCAGCAGAAGTGTATAGGAAGCACCCATGTAGTTAGTTTTAGAAACAGGAGTCCTTCAAAATATAATTGAATCTTTGCAATAAATGAAACTGGAAGAGACCATGAAATTCTGCTGTCCCACAAAGAGATATGCTGGTTAGCACAGGGCAGAGCACTCAAAGGGTTGTTCAACTTGAAGATAAGTGTTCCAGATTTATTTTTCTTTGATGTCAAAGGGCTGTCAATAGTATAACTACCAGCAGATCAAAAAGAAAGAAGTAAACACACATTCAATGTGTCTCTTTAAGTAAAGTATTTTTAAAAGAGTTAAATGGCAACTTCTTAAAAAGAAATTTGTGCTATGGAGAAGGCATTTTGAAAAGAAATATTTAAAGCCAGTCCCTTGGCTAAGTGGTTAAGTTCGCACGCTCCGCTTCAGTGGCCAAGGGTTTCGCTGGTTCGGATCCTGGGCACAGACCTAGTACCGCTCATCAAGCCACGCTGAGGTGATGTCCCACATAGCAGAACTGGAAGGGCCTACAACTAGAATATACAACTATGTACTGGGGGATTTGGGGAGAAGAAGAAGAAAAAAAGATTGGCAACAGATGTTAGGTCAGGGCCAATCTTTAAGAAAAAAAGAAAAGAAATATTGGAAATTTTTCTATTATCATGTGATTTTTGCTGACCCAAATAATTGAAATATGCCACATATTAAAATATATTTTAACACTTAAAACACTTGGAAATAAAAATTTCTAAAGTGTTAAAAAAATTTCCAAGTAAACAGTTTCAGGGATTTGAACCCATTTGTAAAAATAACAACTAATTCACATTAGAGGGAGATTTGCTAACCAAATTTCAACAAAACTTTGGCATATTTGGTAGATAAGATAGAAAAATGAGAATCATAATTTAGTTAACACAATCAAAGATGAACTTCTGTTTGAACCTTTGAATTTTTATATAACATGTTTTTCTGCTATGTTAGCCACAAACACCAGATTCTAATAAATTGAGTGTAAAACCAGACCATCACATCATGTTACCACAAAGGGTTAAGCAATGACTGTAATAAAATGAAGCTCATTGCTCTCAAAAATTATATATTATCAATAATACCTTGTGCTGTTAGTAGGTTTTTGTGTGTTAATAAATAAAATTATTTTATAAATATCATTTTTATGTTTATCATCATTTTCAAATGTCTTTTTGTGTATGTTTTATAACTATAGAATAGGCTAGTAGAGTAGTGCATGTATAGTTTGTTAATAATAAACATACATGCACTAGAAATGTGTGCTCAAACTTTTTACTCATGGGGTACAAAATTCAAGAAAATAGATTAGAAACAGCTGTCTAGTGGAATTAACAAATAATTATAAAGCCTTGTTGTCCAACAGTGTCTGGCAAAATGCTAGATGCACAGGAAGTATTTAAAACTGTGTTGACTCATGGACCACCTCTGAATGCACAAGGTGACAATTTAGACACGTTTTGTGTGTATGCATTTCGTTGGTGACGAGCTCTTCGGCACGAGCATATGCAGTGTAGGATGCCACGGCCACAGAAGCAGCCGTGTGCTGTGGCTGTAGTTTCTGAATTTATGCCACCTGTGTCTAAATCTTGGCCCCATAATTTATTAGCTATGTGACCTTGAATAGATCACCACTGTTTCCGTGTTCCAGTTTCCTTATATGTGAAATTAGGGCAACAACAGTACCCATGTCACAGCTTTGTAGTGAAGATAAAATGAGTTAATAAGTGTAAAGTGTGAGAGAATGCATGTGTGTGAGTGTGAATCCATGTTTGTGCCCATGACCATATGTCTAGGCACATATGTGCATACACACACACACACACACACACATTCTGGGTGAGTATACTGGATATGGTTATAGTTCATGTAATTTCATTTATACTGCTGGTTCTCAATATGTATTTATATTAAGTAATAACAATAATGTTATTGACAATATTAATAGCCAATATTTATTGAGCACGAGTCCTAGGCATTAGTTTAAGCACTTCACACAGATTATCTTGTTGGTTCATCTTTGGAAAAACACATGACATAACATAACATAATATATTTTTGATATTCCCATTTTACAGATTAGAAAACTAAGGTCCAGAAAAGCTAAATAACTGACTTAAATTCACACAGCTAGCATATGATAGAGCCAAGAAGTCTGACAGTCTTTTGGTGAGGAAGATTGTCCCTGAGCTAAGATCTGTGCCAATCCTTCTCTATTTTTGTCTGTGGCATACCAACATGGCATGGCTTGATGAGCCATGCATAGGTCCACTCCTGGATCCAAACCAGCTATCCCTGGGCCGCTGAAGCAGAGCATGCAAACTTAACCACTACGCCACTGGGCCGGCCCCTTTGAAGTCTGACTTTTTAAATCACTGTCTACCACTTTCCCCACCAATTTAATAACATTTAATATTCCTCCTAAAATTCCATACTATCATCATTTGTATGGTGCTTAGTATTTTATAAAATACTTTCACGTACAGCGAGTCTCATAACCAGCCAGTGAAGTGAGGAGAGCAGGATGATTATCCTCACTTTTATAGGACAGAAAACTGGTACAACTGAAAGCCTGGGTGTCTTTCGGTGGAAGTTTTTCTGTGTTACAAATATCCTGGTTGCCTCTGTGCACAGGGAGTCAGTCACCATAAATTTACCGAGTACTGATGTCAAACTCAGACGTGGGTGCTGAGGTAGGAGCTACAGACCTCCCTCGGAAGCGTCACAACCTAGTGGAGACACAGACACGGACACGGAAACCAGCAGTCACCATACACAATACGTAGTCTCTAAGGGAGCCATGGGAAGAGCGCTTATGGAGCACCCAGGGCGTCCATGTGTGCCAGGGAGGTCTTAGAAAAGGCAAAGGGGAGGGGGAGGGGCATGCTTTCCTGGAAGAGAGAATGCATGTGTGTGAGTATCAATCCATGCTTGTGACCATGACCATCTAGGCACGGCCCTATATGGGTCTGCGTGTGTACCTGTTTACACACGTTTACCCGTATATTCATTTATGCACATGCAGGCTGTAAGAGTGGAATCAGAAAGTCTGAATGTAAAAGAGAATGTGTCTGGATCCAGACACACCATAGCAGAATCTGACCCGCCCTGGTGTGTCCCCCATTACCCCCTCCTCACCCAATACCAAGCTAACCAGAGATACTGGTCGCTTCCCACTCCAGCAGTTGCCTTGTGAACTATGGCAATTAGATCCACCAGGTTTTTCAAGCTGTCAGTCTGACTGTGTAGCTGTGTAATAGAGCCAGCCAGCGTGTGTGAGTAATGGGGGTGAAGAGTACAGGTACCTGTGGGTGTACGTCTGGATGCATACTTCCGGCTATGTGTGAATGCTTAGTGTTGGCTGCTCCTCACCAGACTGGGAAAACCTCCCTTCTCCCTTCATCTTCACTGCCCTGGGGAGTTCTTCCATTCACCTGTTTCTGTTGCCACCTGAATGTGGCTGGTGTGCCTCCACTTGAATGTCCTGGGATATGTCAATGTACTTTGGTGCTGGGGCTGGCAGAGGCAAAGCTGGACAGTGCTGGTGCCCATTTTCTGTGGAGACACTCCCTGCTCTCCTCCACCCCCATCCCATTCTGGTCCAGGAATCTCCCCTAGGATGAAAAATGTGTGCAAACAGGACTGGTGGCAGCCATGAGGAACCCACAGGGTCATTCCCAAGGGAGGGCTGATCAACCCCTCCCCTGATGATAAACCCTGTTTTTAGGGCAAAATTGGTCAGGCAGGGAAAGCGAGGACTCCTCTCTCCACACATGTTCCCTGAGGGATTGGGGAGTAAGGCTATAATACTCTATTTCTTTTAAGGTTGCACAATCAAAAAAGCTAAAATGATTGCAAATAATATGTAATTGATGGCAGCTATCAGTATCTCTATAAAGTGGCAAAATAATTGAACTAGATTTTCCCTTTTGTTATAAGGAATATAAATTCAGGGCCACAGGGTCTTGTGAGGCAAAGGCATTATGTGCTGGAATACACTGGTGATTTGTGTGTGTTTACATCCTGGTTCAATGCACTGCCACACAGTTAAATATTCGCATGTAAAAATAAGCAAGAATGAACAGCAATAATCAACACATGTGGTATGCCATATTTTAAGTTGAATGAATGAGTGGGTGGGTGAAGAGAAAAACAAACATATTCAGAAAAGTAGAATGGTTTCATACAGTGATCCCTGAAATTACAATACCTGGATTCTGTTCCCAGTTCTACCAATGACTTAATCTATTGAAAGGTTTTTATCAGATATTGAAAAATCAGTCCAGTGTCAGGATATGTCTCAAAGGATGAATATGCTTAATCAAGCCTTGTTGAAGTGTCTTTTAAAATGTAAATGGTCACTAATAAATGTTAGCTGTTGCATAGAATGTATATATAGTATATATTTCCATGTTCTGGACACAAATATTTTCCTACACATTAAGGGAAGACACTAGTTTTACAATATGCCAGGAGAATTTTTCCATAGTCAATATGTTGTTTATTTGCACTTAAATACTGCGTCAATAATCTGAAAAAGAGAAATAGTCTGATTATGGCTAGAGATTCTGTTTGGAGGCTAAGGTTTCCATCATGGACTGCTTTCAACTGTTATATTTTATGGCACAGATTCAGTGGGAATCTGATCTGCTAAAATATTTGGGCTGTGAAAACTCCCACACTGTGACAGATGTCAAGTCCAATTAAGCGACTCATGTCCAGGTTTCTGTCCAATAGGATTTCCCATTAAATATCAATTTAGGGAAAAAAATTCCATCCCCCTTCTTAAGCCTTTATCTCTTCCACCATCTCCAGGCTGAATCAATTGGTACCAGGAGAGCCAAGAAGCCACACACGCATCTCTGCCTCTTTGCTCTGGCTCTCCCACCCTCTCCCGTCTTTCTCTGCTTCCCTGTCACTGTTACTCCGGGAGACGTTCACTTTTCACCAACCTTTCTCCAAGTATCTCCAAGCCACTGACTATATATATTTTGCTACAAGGTAAAGAGCGGAGGGGGTGGGGGTGGGAGAGATAACCAAGCCTTGAAAGACTTTGAAACCTGAAATAGCTGTCTGTTTATAAAACATACAAGTAAATGAGGGAAGAGGAAGAGGCAAGATTAGCCCCGAGTTACAGTATTGTGTTCCCGGGAACTGGGGAGACATCAGCGGAACAAAGCCTTATCTCAAAAAAAAAAAAAAAAAAAAAATCACTTCTGAGCAAGATCGCATCTCTGCCTTGCACTTCCCACTTTCTGCTCAGCCGTATCGAGGGAAGGAAAGGAGTCCTGCAGGAGCGGAGTCTTATCTTAACCATCTTTCTTATTGATTCTTCCGCTATTAGAAAGTGGAGGAATCAGCCCTTTGATGTGCTTGTGTTTATCTCTGCATCTCTTTTGTTATTTATAGAGATCCAGAAGAGGAAAAAAGGCACGAGACTTTTCAACACATCGTTTAAAAAAAATCAACAACGAATTTCCCGAAATGTTTGAGAACAATTAAAAGGAAAAGGCGTTTTTGATCTATCCACTAAGTGAACAATCATTCATATCGTCCACATCCTGAGATACTATCGTCCCTCGCTGTGGGCACCAGCGAGATGACAGCTGCTTTTTCATTTTTGAATGTAATAAATATTTGCTGCTTTTAATATATTTCGGAATTTCTCCCCGCTATTCCCTGGAATTTTAACTCTAAAAGATTGGAGAAAAGATTATCGAAAAGGCTTTTACAAGGTAAGCCGCCTTTAAATAATTTTTGTCCAGCTTGGAACTAAGTTCTCTTATTCACATTGCATTTATAGATGTATTTCAGTTCATTGTTAAAGAAAGAAAATGCATACATGACATGCTATTTGTGAATATTTTGGAAAGCTATCTGGGGGAGAATTTAACATGCTTTGAGGGCTACCCAGGAACTTTTTTTTACCGATCTACAACTATGTAGTGGCTTATTGTGATTTTCCATCACTCGCCTGTTTATTTATGCCCTCTCCAGCCGAATGTGTAGGTGCAAGTTCTACTTATAAACGTTTCCGGGAAAAGCCCGCAGGGAATCACATGCAGCTCACTCGGAGAATTTCTTCCTATTTTGCCTTGGAGGACCTGTTTTCCTCGCAGGGAGATGAAAGCGGTGTTGGAGCCAAATTCGCTCCTAAGCGAGTGCGGTGCTAGGAACAGGTCGCACATCCGCTGCTTTTGTTTCTGTAGGAGCAAACCCTCCTCCCCGGCGCCGGGTCTCCCGCGGCGCGCGCCGCTCGGGCCGCACACCCGGGGCCCGGGTAAGCTCAGCCCGGGCCTCCCTCCCGGCGTGCGCTGCACCCGCAGGTGCCTCCCCCTCCGGCCGGCCGCCTTCTGGAAGCCGGCACTGCCCCGAAGCCCAGCGGTTGTGAGCGGCTCCCTTCCAGAAGGCACAGTTGGGGCCGAGCCTCTAGGTGCCCAGGAGGAGCCCGGCCAGGCGGGCATCGTTAGAGGAGAGCCAGGGACAGGCTAGCTCGGCCTTGGCTAGGCCGCCCGGGGACAGCGGCGGGCTCCCGACCCCGGCCCCCGAGCACCCGAACTCGGCCCGTGGAGAGGCAGCTCGGGCCGGGGCGACACGCGCAGCGTCCGCCTCCTCGCGGCCCCCGGCCCTTCCCCGCCTCGCCAGCCTCTCCTCCCGCAGCGCCCGGCCGCCGGCGTTTTCCCGCGAGGTGGTCGGCACATTGTCGGGCGCATTGTCTTCTCCCACGCCTCCGCGTCCCTGGGTCCCCGGTGTGGGGCTGTCTGCGTGACAGATGGTGCTTCGGCGACGGCATAAGAGTCAATTCTCCGTTGAAAGGAGCCTCCACGTTTGTTTAGTCATTTCTTTCTTCTCTCGGAACAGCGCGAGGGGGACGGGGAGGCCGGCCGCGCCCTCTGCGTGCGCCCTGGGCGGGGGTCCTCTCCGCGCCGGGCCCTCCGCCGCGCGCGCCCCAGACCGGCGAGGCCCGCGGGCGCCGCGGCTCTCCGGCTCCCCGGCCTCGGCCCTCGGGGCACGCAGCGCTCTCCGCGCCTCCCCGCCCGCGTGGGACCCAGAAGGATTCGTCGTGCGGGATCATTCGTTTGTCAGGGCAGGAGGAGAAGTGCGGGAGGCGGAATGGCGGTGGTGCTGTTCGGCCGGAGGAGGCACAAACCCAGGCGCGGCCTGGCAGGCCCGCGGGCTCCCCGCGGACCAGGCCCACAGGCCGGTCAGGGCCTCTTGCAGGCCGACGGCTCAGGGCCGGGAGGCAGCCCGGCCAGGCGCAGGCCTCCTGCCTCGGGCGCCCGGCGGAGGCGCGGGGCTCGGGCCCTCGGCCTGCCCCTCGCGGCGCGCTCCCTGCCTGCGGGCCCAGCTCCCCGGGGCGCCGGCCTGGGGTGGGGAGGGCCGAGCCGCGCGGAGGCCGGGCGCGGGAGGCCCTGTCCGCCTCCCTCACACCCAAGGAGGACCCCGATTCCTTTCACTGATTGCTTTTCTGATCCCCCTCAGCCACCAAAATGATGCTGAGTCCGGACCAAGCCGCCGACTCGGACCACCCCAGCTCGGCGCACTCGGACCCGGAGTCGCTGGGCGGCGCGGACGCCAAGGTGCTGGGCAGCGTGTCGGACCTGGAGCCGGTGGAGGAGGCCGAGGGCGACGGCAAGGGCGGCAGCCGGGCCGCGCTCTACCCGCACCCGCCGCAGCTGAGCCGCGAGGAGAAGCGCCGGCGCCGGCGCGCCACGGCCAAGTACCGCTCGGCCCACGCCACGCGCGAGCGCATCCGCGTGGAGGCCTTCAACCTGGCCTTCGCCGAGCTCCGCAAACTGCTGCCCACGCTGCCCCCCGACAAGAAGCTCTCGAAGATCGAGATCCTGCGCCTGGCCATCTGCTACATCTCCTATCTCAACCACGTCCTGGACGTGTAGGACGGGGGCGCCGCGGGAGGCCGCCGGGCCGCGGGGCGGGGAAAGGCTCCCCAGCGGGGCGGCCCGGCGGCCGCGAGAGACTGGGACGGGGCAAGAGGCCCGCCACCTGTTCCCTCCGTGCAGCAGGGCGACGAGGGCAGGCTTCTGACTCTGGACGGTGGGGTTGTCTGGCGAGCCCGGGGGCTCGCAGGGGGTGTTTTCCAGGCCAGGCGAACCTCCTGGAGGGCCCCGAAATGAGCCGCCTCCACGCCTCCTCTCCGCGTGTTAGGATCCCTTTAAGGCTTGTTTCTTTAGCTCGCTGGAGACTTCGAGTTCTCCTCCGTTTATCTGCCACAGAGCTTCATGTGTTGAAACAATGAGGGCAGAAGCTCAGAGTGTATATAAGCTCATAACTTTAGACGATCTGGAATTTTTCTAGTTGATAAACATTCGGAGGGGTGGGGAGGGCATCTCCTCCAGCGTGGAGATTTAAGGCACAGAAAGGAACGGGAAACTCTTCGTTCCGTTGTGAAAAGAAAGATTATATTAGAATCCAAATAAAACAAACCCCGTATATTTGGGAAGGTTAAAAAGATACATCGAGAACAGATACATTGTGGGAAGATTTGAGCTTGGTGAGATGTATGACACTCACGTAGACAGGAAAATCCATATTTAAATGGAAAAGTTAATGTCTGATTGCTTTTTCAGGCGAAGTGCCCCTTTATATATCCAAAAACATCTATTTGTGACCTTAAACATGTGGACCCATAGGTGCAGTTAGCAAAAGACAACCTATTTTTATTTATGTTAGAAGGAGTAGAGTATTTTTTTCAAGACATTTATTTTTCAGAGTGGTGATAATTTTACTTTGGATACTCTGTGCCAATTTATTTATAGTCGAGTGTTTACACTTTCTCCTGTGGAATAATTACGTCTAACTTTTTACGTGTTTGTTGAGATTATACTGTGGTCTTTCTTTTTGCTCTAATTATATTGCACTTGTATAACAAATGTCCCACTTCTCCCTGTTTCTAAGCATATTTTATATATTAAGACGTTCGTTCTCGAAAGGTTCTTCTGTTGTGAGATCAGCAACACTAGCACTTCACTATTATAGTTTTTTAAAAAAGTAAATGTTGTTATTCTTATCTGTAGTTATGTCTGAAGAGTACTTTACAAACTGTTTATAAGGAGAGTAGCTTCTTTGTGTGTGTGTGTGTGTGTGATGTTTGTGCGTGGGATGATTTTAGGAAATTAAGTTATTTTCCTAAAAAAAAAAAGTCAGAACTACTTTCCTCTGTGACAACCAAAAAGAAAAGTCTATAACCTGAAAATGTTTCATGTTCTCAGCTGTGAAACTCTTAGAACAAGGAGTGTATTTTAGAGACAAGGGAAAAAAAACCACATCTGCTATCCAAAGATTTTAGTCTTTTTCAGGGTTTTTTTGTGTCTCTGTTGCTTTATATAATGCAATATTTTGTAGTGAAAATAGATATAATCTGGTTTCTATCTGACGAGTTTTTCATATCTCATGAATGGTGCGCTGTTTTGCATATAAATAAAGGTATCGAATAAAGTCCTCTTCTTTATTTTAAGCATACTGTCTAAAAATAATGAACATACTGGCTGAGCATGAAATATCTTAATGGACACAATTCCTCAGAAAGGAACTAGTAAAAAAAAAAAAAAAAACTTAACATATTTGTGTATTAAGATATTTGATGCTTTTCCTAAACTTGGACACTGATCAGTCTATAGATAGATGCCCCATATATGATGGTGACGTAGATCATGTTTCTCTCAATGAGGAAAAAATTGTAGTGTTTATTTAAAAATATTACTTGAATCATAGATTCTTTTGCTCTAAAAGGAAACTTACTAACTAGCCCAACTTCTTCAAATTAGAGTTGGGAAACTGAGGCACAGGGAGTTTAAGTGCCCTGCTTGAGTCACATAGCTACTTCAGGGCAGTGAGAAGACCCCTGATATAAAGAAGCTCAGTCCTCATGGCATTTATTAAGAACAAGGTGTATATTGTAGCACTCAAACATCTAATCTGGACATAGATTCAGGACCTGATACTTGCAAACAAATGAAAATTAAGTCCTGGACCAACCTTGGGCTATGAAGAATATCATCCGCAAAAGCCTATAATTAGTATAAAAATGTGAAATTGTCTACAAGCACAAGACATGAATAACTTTAAAACTATACACATGCACACACACACACACATATGTAGAATATTATGAACTATGCATCTATATTACACCAAATCTCTGGTTGCAGAGTAAAAAATGCAATTGTTTGGTTGGTTGGTATTATGTCTATAAAATATGTGGGATTAGGGCTGGCCCCGTGGCCAAGTGGTTAAGTTCGCGTGCTCCGCTGCAGGTGGCCCAGTGTTTCGTCAGTTCGAATCCTGGGCGCAGACATGGCACTGCTCATCCAACCACGCTGAGGCGGCATCCCACATGCCACAGCTAGAAGGACCCACAACTAAGAGTATACAACTATGTACCGGGGGGCTTTGGGGAGAAAAAGGAAAAAAAATCTTTAAAAAAAAATATCTGGGATTACGAGCATTTTTCACTTTTCACCCAGGTATCTTGTAGTCAGGTTCATAGATCCCTAGTAAGAGAGACTCATTCCCTTCTCCATATGGGAGTGCTAGGTAGGAAAGCACTTCCTAGGACATGAAACAGAATGGTGTCTCTCTGGCCTTGTCTCTGGCCCAAGTCCTGTCCGCTGCAGCAGAGGCTGGTTCCTCCGGCCTGCAGACGTGCACTGTCTTTGGACTGAGGGTTTGCAGGTCTTGCCCTCTAGGAGGGGAGAGATGGCTACTCCCAGTCCTGATAGCACTTCTCTACGATAGGACAGAAAAATCAGCCCTGCTCCTGTGCCAGGGAAGTGAAGTCAACTTTAACCTCTGGAAGCCTTCCGAGGCCTCCCTTTTCCTAGTTTATGAGCCCAATTTCCAACTGACCAACACAGTGCTCCCACTGACATCTAGGAGGGACCTGTTAACTCACCGCCCTCGACTAAAGCCCCCACCCTTGGAGTTAACGTAAGACAGACATGGGCAAAGGGCGGCATCCCCTCCCAGGTACACAGCCCTGTGATCCCAGGAGAGGATCTTTGCAGTGCCATTTCAAACCCGAGGCTGCTGAGCACCCTCCCAAGAGAAAGGCAGCACTGTGGCTCTCTGCTGGGCTAGAGGGTGACTGACTCATCCCTGGCATGTCGCACAGACTCAGTGGCTGTTCAGCTGCAGGTAAGGGAGTAATGATCCTGCTTTGAATAATGATGATGGTGACCATTCAGTCTTACATTCAACAAATATTTATTGAGGACCTACTGTGTGCCAGGCATTGTTCTGGATGGTGAAAATAGAGCAAGAAATGAGACAAAGCCTGCTGGAGAAGAGCAGTACACTGACAACAAATAAACAATATTTAATTTCAGATATTGCTAAATACCGTGAAGAGAAAGACAGCAGGGTAAGGAAATAGAGAATGGCAGCTGGGGGTGCCGATGGGGATGATTTTAGATAGAGCTGTTTGGGAAGGCCTCTCGGAGGAGGCAACCTCTGGCTAGAGACCTAACTAGCAGCCTCCACGATTGTTGCCACTTGTAGAGCCCTCTCTTCTTGCATCCTGTTAACACATCCTGTGCTCATGCCACCACAACAGCCCAAGCTGATCACTGGCCATTCCCACTGGCGGTGGCCTTGTCCTTCACCCCCAGCTTGCTCTTTCTCTGGACAGACCTGTGACCACAGTTCCTCCTGCTCTCCTCTCACCTCTACTCTCTGCCCCCAGCTGCCCAGCAGCTGGCCAGGACATCACTGCTCCTCAGAAAACCTAGCTCTGCCTGGCCCAGCTGACAAGGCCGCCTGTGCTGAATACTTCTGTGCTCATTTCTGCCACTGTCTGGAGATATCTGGAGAAAAGTCCTGGGCAAAAAAATCTTCCCTTGCAAGGAGAGGGCAAGGGAAGGGGCAGTGACAAGGGTGTGGGTGGTGGGATGGATCAGGAAAAGGGGAACAGACTGAGGACAGGGGACCTGGGTATGGAAAGAAATGAGGTTGAATGGAGGTGGGGGACTCGGCAGGGAACGCTTGCTTCCCACAGATCCCTACTCTTGGGGCTTCCTTCAGTGGCCCTGCCCTATGAACACAGGTCACCCGACTGCCATGACGAGGTAGGTAGACAGAGCCAACCTCTGTAATGCTGTGATTTATCGGGTTCCCATCACTGCTATCAGTCTCTGGGTGCCGGTCTTCCCTGCACCGAGGTTTGGGATGGCAGGAGTTAAAGGGGAGGGGACAGCCAACGCAAGTGCATGTATAGCCAATACCATTTTCCCAGCCTAGAAGGGCTCTCATTTATTGTTGGTATAGTAGAAATATTAACACCTAACATGTATTCAGTGTGTACTATATGTTTACTGAGTTAAGTGCTTTGTGTGCATTATCTCATTTAATTCTCACAACAACCCAATGAAATAAGTACTTCTATTGTCTCCATTTAACAGATGAGGAAATTGAGGCTTAGAGAAATTAAAGACTTGCTCAGGGTCATGCAGCCATGTTTGTTTGTCAAAGTGTGTGCCTTCACCCATCACATTCAATGGTTTTCCTTGGCTAGAGGGGCAGCCATGCCACGCACACCCTACCCTGGCCCCTGTACCCCATATCTCCATCCATGTGCTTGGAGGAAGCTTCAGCTCGGAAAATACCTAAGGAGTACAGGATCTGCGATGCACGAGGTCCCCCAACCAAGCCAGGGATTGGCCTTAGCTGATCTGTGCTGAGCCTGTGCTCCACTGATCAGATCTGGTGAATGCCCTGGCTCGGGGCTGAATAGGGGAGGCGGAGGAACCTCTTTCTACTTTGCAGGAAGACGGGCTGGCGGCTGCCTTGGACCAGCCCCTCCTGAAGGTGACTGGCGCTGACCTGACATGGTCCATGGCATTACTATTCATCACCACATGGGTGGGTCTGGCTCCTCAGGCTCCCCCACCCACACTCCTTAGCACATGGAGGGCCGTTCTCACGCTGCCCCATGAACCATCTTTTAAAGTTAGCACGTCATTCTCCTGCCTGAAAACTCTTCTTGGCTCCTCATTGCCTAGAAAAAATAAAACTCAAGTTTTTTCCTGGGGCATAGAAATCTTTCACAATCTGGTTCCAGACACTCTAGGATCATCTTCAGCCACTCTCCCTGAGCTTGAATGTTCCTATCCGTTTCAGAGTCCCTCACTTTGCTGGGGATGCCTCATCCTCTGAAGCCTGTGCCTCTGCGCTTGCTTTCCCTCTCCCTAGAACGCTCTCCTCCAACCTCATTTTTGCCCAGAAAGTTCCAATTATTCCATTGTCACCCAACTCAGATATAACCACTTTGCAAAACTTTCCTCAGTTTCTTTGGGCAGTGTTACATGCTCTGCCCTCTGAGTCCTCTGTACACACATCATTATGCCAGAATTAATTTTTCTCCCATTCCTGTGTTTGACACCCCAGAGTCTGGGGCCAGGTTCAGACCCTGGCTCCAACTTCTTCTAAATGTGCGATGTCGAACATGTTACTATGTTTCCTCCAGCCTCTGTGTTCAGATGTGTGGGATGGGATGATGTATGTACCCATCTCAAACGCATGCTATGAGGTTTCCGTGGAGTGATGTAGAGTGCTTCACAGAACAAGAAGAACATAGTAAGTGCTCGACAAACGTCAGCTACTGTTACTACCTTTGTATTTAGAATATGCATAGTAAGACGTATAGGAGATGCTAAAAATAATAGTACATTAACAATTCATTAATGTATTAATGATTTGTGGGCTCTGTCAGCTGTGTTCATCTGCTTATGACGCATTATTAGCTCTAAAAAAAGTCAGACAGAAATAATCCCTGTCCTATAAGACAGAAAACGCTATAGGTAAGTAAATAGTAAGCCATGGAATCAACCATAAATACATATATTTAAAATCATGTACGTGTCTTGGGGTGGCCTGGTGGTACAGTGGTTAAATTTGTACCTTCTGCTTCGGCAGCCTGGGGTTCACTGGTTCAGATCCTGGGTGTGGACCTATGCACCGCTTGTCAAGCGATGCTGTGGCAGGCGTCCCATATATAAAGTAGAGGAAGATGGGCATGGATGTTAGCTAAGGGCCAGTCTTCCTCAGCAAAAAGAGGAGGATTTGTGGCAGATGTTAGCTCAGGGCTAATCTTCCTCAAAAAAACAAAAAGAAAGAAATTATGTACGCATCTGAAAGCCCCACTCCACTCCATGTGGGAGGCCTGGCCTATGGCTTTTCCTTTTCCATCTTGGTTTTCCCATGGCACTGAATGTTGTGACAGGCGCTACTGCGGAGTGGTCAAGAGCACAGACTCTGACAAAGCATGTCCATGTTCAAACCCCAGCTCTCCTACTAACTAGCTGTGGCCGTGAACAAATTACTTAGTCTGTGCCTCAGTTTTTTCACTTGTAAAATGGGGGTGATAGTAGGACCTCCCCAATAGCATTGTCAGGAAGATTGAGTTAATTCACATGACACGCTTAGAACACGCCCGGTGCATG